CTGCCCCAGCCTAACACAAAACAAAAGTAATAAAATACGGCACCTTATCAGCAAAGGCAACTCCAACGTCCCAGCGCGAGGTTGAATCATTCAAGTTCTTACGGTACTGGATCGCGGGAAATGGACCCTAGTACAGTACAGTACAGCACAAGTAGTACGGACAAGTATCGTTCCATTCCCATAGTCTCCGTCGGGTCCAGGTGTTGTGTTGTATTGTCGGAACAACAGGGTTCAAGACAAGGTCCTCGAATTCACATGGACAGGGGGGGTCAAGCATTGTTATCCTATTAGTAAGAAAGGAGACAAACTTTCCTAAATAAAACGGAAGGATGGAAAAGAAGGAAGCTAGCGAAAAAAGAAGAGACAAAGCCCTGTATCCAAGATCCGATGAATTTGTGATTGCCCGAATTCTCGTCTTGTCCGAGATTATCTTTTTTCGGGACCGAGAGCGAGCAATGGACATAGATTTTTGCTTTTCATTTACTTTTGCTTCCGTTCCTTTTCCTTCATCTCGTTCACAGACAAATTGGGGAATTTGAAGTAAAATAAATCGTTCAGTAATGTGAAGAGAGAAAAGTATAGACTGAGGAATGATTGATAAAAGGAAACAGCAGGAGATTTTCTTAGGTGCACAATTGAAAGGTCAGAATTCCCATATCATTTCTAAGTAGATAACAAGGCCCTTTTATCCCAAGATGATCTACATCTTGTCCGGTGCCTGTGTGGATGAAATTTTTCATCTCCGGTAAGGGGACTAAAGTCTTGTCCCTTTGAAACAACAAGGAAACAGAAAAGAAGCAAGAGAGAAATTTTCACTGCAAGGAGATAGAGAGGAAACAGTATGGAGACAACAGGGTGATAACAGTTTCAGACATCAAGTAAGGTATAACGGAAAGTTCGTGAAGATCATATAGGAAACCAATAGTAGGTATGAAATCAAAAACTCAGGGACAATATTCCAACAGAATTAGTATACTGCCCAAATTCCTATACAATGTTAGGGAAGAAGCCGTAAAATAGTTGTTTGAGGTTTCCGAGCCAAATAGATCACTGTCTCTTCCGGCTGCCGGTGCTTGTAATGGGTCCACACCCTTGTAAAGTACAAGTACGAGTGCGAGTACAAGTACCGGTACCGTACTAGTACTAGTACATCCCGTTGTAGCGACCAATCGATACAACCCGATTACCTCAAGATCTGTATATTGAGCCTCGCGCGAGGACTTTGGAGTTGTCTTTACTCGTAAGGGGCTCTTTTTCCTCATCATAGCCTTCCTGTTTCAGGGTGGCTTAGTCAGGTGGTTGCCTGACTAATGGACTGAAGATAGAGATAAACCTGCTTCTAGCAATGGTATTGTAAGCCCCATACACGCTTCATCTCAATTGCGATGGCAGCCGGTCACCCAGAGCAGCGGATTCTGGGCATGGCTAAGCCTAAGTTGTAACTTATTAGTTGCGTACCAGATTATCGTACCGGTAAGTGCATCACACAAATACCATATTTCGAGTTCATTTCCATTGAAATAAGAAACCACTCCAAACACAGTATGATACTAAACAAGATTTGGAAACGAAGGAGGACTAGGTTTAACGTTTGTTGTGCTCTCCTCTCTGGTCGCACCCTTTTCATTCAGGCCTAAAATTCTCGGTATTACCCAGAGCCCACGGTTTGCTTGCTATACCCCGGTCGGTAGTCATTCTGATATATATCGTAACTGGAGCGCAAATGAGGCACCCCAGACACCTTCTGTGCCGTCATCGGATTTGGTGGATCCTCCTGCCGATATTTTGCCCGTGGTCCACCGTGGCCTGCAGTGTGCCAGCGCACAACCCTCTGGCTCAGCTTAACCTTTATTTATTTTATTTATATGCTGGTTATAATTCTACCAGTTTCCCCGTATTATATATAAAGGCCATGCACACCGATACTTTTTTGAGCCCCCTAGGAACTTCTGCAAGGGGAACTAACTTACATGCTTCCCCCCATTGTTATGAAGTGAGAATACTCGGTTGTGTAATAATTAGTGCAGACGGACTTTCTCGCTCTCATAATTTCATGAGAATGCTCACACCGTATGGGCTTAGTTTTCAGTCCTCCGCTAGTGCTCTCCAGGAACTGTGGAAGTCTCGCAATGGATAAATGTCTTTTTCCGGTAGGATCGATATATCATACCATTCCCGGAGTTCCCTGTTCATGGAGGGCTTAGCGAATTGTGGCCCAACAATACTAGTTGTTGCCCATAGCCACTTATTTTTTTACGGACTTCTGACGGCCAAGATCCCCATTGCCTCATAGGCTGAGGTAATATGAGGTTAGGGTTGAGTTTCCTGCTGGGCTGCAAGCAATATCCCGTGTCGGATCACCCCCTCCGGGAAACAGGGGAAACACTCGGTAACCCGTACTGTTCTATATCAAGCCATAATTGGATTCGTCATACCTACCAAGTGCTTAAAAGATATACCGCTAGGGTCCGTACCTGTGATGAGACGGATGGGAGTGAACCTTTTCAATACCATGCTCTTGGCGAAAAAACCTTCCGGGTACCATTGACCGAGAAATATACCTTCGAAAAAGTGAAACCTTCGCACAGAACCACATTGGTCTGACCTCGCTTAATAGTAGTATGTTCTTGGTGATTTTTTGGGCCAAGAATCCTAAGAAAATTGCTAGAAACAATTTAAAAAAATATTAGCAGGTCTCAAGTAGTTCCGGCTTTTTTATAAGATTTTTTACAATATTTTTGGATTGTTTGAGGGGTAAAAAGACTGGGGAACTCTGTGCTAGAGTGAATATTTTGTTGATTGTTGCAATTTGAAACCTTGCGATGGTATGTTTTTGCCAAGAATGGTATTATAAGGTACCCCCCTGTTTTCCATGGTATTTGAAAGGTTTTCTCAACGGATAGGGGTTTGTGTGTCCGGGTACTCGTACCGTTAGAGGGAAAGGATTATTTAATTTGGTAGGAGAGTGCTAGGAGGGGTAAGAAGCTTTGACATCGTGAACCCCTGTCCGTCTCATCACTAACGTCCATACCCGAGCACATAAATACCGTACTGCTGTCATCTGCAATAATTTAATTTACACTCCAGACGCTTCCATGAATTATTCCAAAGGACGAAAAAGAAAAAAAAGAAAAAAAACATGAACGAGGCACGAATTGCCTCGAATACGGTACTTCCGCTCCCGCTCAAAAGTCTCCCGTTACAGGCGGGATCTCTCAATTACCGACCGACTCGTGCCAAGGTCGTGGCTAGCCGCTACCACCCACCAATGCTCGCTGGCTCGCAACCATGGGTCGACTACCGTAGTAGACTACCAGTACTGTACTCCTCCAGAGTCCAGAGCGCCCGACAGTTCAACGTAACTATGGCTCAACGTAACTTTGTGGTTCAACATCACTTTACCGTTTAGTGTCGTTTTGGGTACACCTGTTCTATTCCGTTCCGTCGCCTGATACAAAGTGAGCATATTTTCTGTTTGACGATCAGTTTTACTGCAGAAACCTTTGCGAAGCGGAACGGAACGGACAGGCACTAAGCTGCGAGGTTGAGCTGAGCCACAAAGTGGCGGTAAGCCACGAAGTTACTACGGTGAGCCAAAGGTGACTCCTAGGAATCCGGTGTCAGGTGGGGGGGTTTTCTTTCCCTTTTCCTGGATGGTGGTTTGACTACGCACTGTGCCCTACCCGCTAACTCACTTTACCTTCACGATATACCAGAAAGTAATTGCCTGATAATCGGGACTGGTGAGCAGTGATCAATTTCACAAACAACACAGAGGAATCAAAGAAAGAAATGTAGGCTCCGTTTGGTAGAGATGAAAAGTTCTATTTCCCAGTGGTGGGTGTGTGTGTGTTCTCATTGTTGCTAAGAGAAAAAAAAGAAAGCTATAAGAAGAAAATCCTGCACGCCAAGCCCCCTCTTATACATGAAAAATATCCAAAGCCTCCTCCCCATCAAATACATGAAAGGCACCTCCAAATCAAGCAATTCTCCACACCGGGAGGGGGCCTGAAGTGGTCTTGGCATATTTTCAGGTTACAATCCAGAAAATAAAATTCTAAATTCATTGACGAGACAATCGGAATAATGAATAATGCAACTCCTGGAGACAATGGGGTCTGGAATGCATCAAAGTACCTTCCGGCCACCGCCTAGGCGCGTGCAGGAAATTAGTGTATATTTGCACGCTTGTGACAAAGCTCTTCACGACCGGACATGGGGCTGCGGCCGGAGAGTTTGTGTCGGCTCATATTAAGCCCTTCGTTCATGCGCTGAAGATAGATTTTGTTGAAGGGTGGAAGGACAAATATGCGGCGAGGGGATTTGGGATTTTTGCGCTTGCACAAGAGCGGGAGGGATGAGCCCCCGCTATTTTTACACGCGAGGTTTTCTTTCTCCATAATTCCATAACATTATCTAGCGGTTACTAAGAGAGTTTTGATTAGTCCCAAAAGCATCGATGTCCTCTACTCGTACTTGGTCGGTACAGTACACACCATACTAGATGTTTGCGCGGAGGTTTTGAACCTCCTGATACCGGATTCCCGTGTGGGATCGGGTGCTGGATACCCGCGCCCGCGAGTTTGGTTATTAGACCGTTTGTTTACTCTACAGTATGAGCTGTTAGAGGTGGCAAATTAGTTGAATGGAGTCCCGTATGTCGAGACAAAGCCCTGCTCTCCGTAGCAGTTTCTGTTCCGGGCGATAATCATACACAATCACTCGATGATTACTCCCCTCGGATTAAAATTTATACCGCCTCAGTTAGGGGGAAGTTAATTGTTACCGTAGTTGAAGAAGATAACATGAAATAAGTAACTTGGTCCAATTTGATTCCAGTAAACACTGGGGAAATGTAACACGAAGGGTTAGGGGCCTTTGTCGCACCGTTATGACTATGATAATTATGATATCGTAGATTGGGCTCGGTTCGGCTAGGCGCCCCTCCTTAAAGCACCCTCTCCTCGTGCGGACTAGCCCAACACGGACATTTTTTGTAGATGCGGCTCTTGCCGCTTTACCCGTTTTTGTCACAGTTCTTTGTTCCTTTGTCATCAGCACCAGCACCACTCTTCTCCACTTTACGTTGGCAGTCGTTTGTTTGTTTCCTCTTCTCCACACTCCCAATTCTCGCTCCCCCTTTCTTTCTAGGGGACTCAACTATCGGTATAGGATCTATACCTAAAGACCTTCCTTCTCTGGTGTTTAATTACTCTTACTTACTTCACTTGTGCTTTACGGCTATAGATCGTGTGAGGTCAGCTTCACGTTATTCGTTTTCGTGTGTAACCGATCAGAACCACCCCGCCCTACTCCGACAATTCTCACTCTCTCACTCCGACAACACCATGCCGCGAAAAATAAGAGAAAAGGTCCCCGTAATGCGTGCCTGTGACTTATGTGCTGCCCACAGAGTATTTTACCCTTGGTTCCCCACCACTAATCACACCACACCTCGGCTAACCGACGCAGCGAAGATGCGAGCACAAAGTGGCCGCCTACCTGCCTAAGGGGGGTGGCGGCCGAGACGCGAAACCACGCCCGGTAGAACCGGCCGATGAAGCAATGCCCGATGCTGCCTCTGATAGCGGAGCCAAGGCGAGTAAGCGTAAAGCTGCACAAATGGAGGGGGACGCTCCGGAGGTGGTGCGAAGTGTACGGAGGAGAAGTTTGAGGAGTGGAGGGGGTGACTTTGTGAGGAAAGTGGATCAACAGGATAGCGATGATGGGAAGCCAGTTTCTAAGGGGTTAAGTGTTGGCTCTGCGGAGGGAGAGGAACCGCCGGAGGCCCCTAATGGCTTACAACACGGTGAGGGAGGCGAGGGCTATGAAGATTCGAGCTCTGTATCCGGTGGAGATCCGCATGGTGAATCATCACCCTCCAGATCCGTCTCCCCACCCGTAATAGAAATCGCCTCCCCAACGTTCTCAATCGCACCAGAGGTCGAAACCCGCGGCCCATCGCCCTTCAGTGACGACTCTGAAGAAGAGGGGGTTTGTGTCCGCCTACCCCCCGCCCCCTCCCCCCCGCCGACCAGATCCCAATTGCCTTCATCAAATGCCTCTCCTGTTCCTGAATCCTCACCATCGACACCATCGACACCTTCTCCGCAACAAGCCCCTATCCGGCCATACTCTCGCTGGGTAGATCCTACCAAGCCTGCCAGTCGCTTTTCAGGAGGGAGGAGGTATACTCCACTGACGTTGAACACACCTATTTATGGAGGGAGGATACCACCGCCGGCTCCCACCCCACCGCCAACCTCTAGATGAATGTCACTGACGGATAAGTTGTTTTTTCCGTGTCTGATGTAAATACTACGAGCCCTATTATTTGAAATTGTGATTTTTCTCATACTCTATCCTTGCTCCGAACCGAAGTGTACAGTACTAGTACATAGGTGTTCACAATATCATGAGGTGAGAAAAAGGGGATGACAAGAAACAAACTAGTATGATACCCGCTGGTCCTCAGCGAGTATCTTCAGTCTCGGTACATTCCGATCCCCACGCCTCTAGTCTGTAAAATGTGAAAATCCCGGTAAACCTCCCTTGCACTACACGACACCCCTGAGAGCGGGGTTTATGGCGGGAAGAGTGACCGAAAGCGATAAAAAAAAAGGAAGGAAACAAGGTCTCGCAAGAGGTTCTGGAAAAGGTGCTTGGGTCAACCTGCCAAATACGGTAATCCCTGTCTGTTCCGGTTAATCAGTCCCTACTCTACCCTGTGACCACATATACCGTGAAATCTCTTGAGATCCGTTATCGGATTATTCGCGGATATCAGCATCGGCTCGCAATGGGTTAAATTTGACAGGCTAATACCGGTAGTCTAGAACTGTGAATGTCATAATATCACACTAATTAATGGGATTCAGCGCCTCAGTGTGTACTTCACTAACTCAGCTCTGGGGTGCTTTTTCCCTCTGAATCCGGAAATTTGGGTGAGCGCCGGGGATATCGGGTTGCGTGAGATTCTCCTGTTGTAAACCGTAAATTAATCCGTAAATTAACTCACTGATAGCCGAGCGATCCTCTGCAGTGATGATAACTGCCGAATTTCCCCACACCCCACTTCAATATTTGGCCGGCGGTACTGGCGTGAACCGACGCTCTTACCGGGGCACGTGGTATGGCATCCCTGGATCTCGTAGTTTACCTCACGGTAGGATTCCAGATGCGCCGGGGCCCCTTGGAATTGTGCCGGATATATAATAATAGCGAGGTTATTGGCCCGATGAACCGAGTGAATCGGGCTGCGGGGAATGAGGTGCTCTTCCTGTGCCGAGGTTCCCGCTCGGATTATGTAAATCTTGCAGCAACTCAGATCTACCGTAGGATGGTCTAAACGACCGATTGCTGGATTAGGATTATATCGAACCTTCGCGTTTCCAAAAATCCGGCACTTTAGCAAACGATGCCTTAAAGAGCTCCGGGTCCGTCTAATTATTATTCGGGAATTCGGGGGGTTGAAAGGAAAAGTTTGTGAAAAAGTTATCCCATCTTAAGGTGTGGAGCATTTCATACAACTATGGTGTGTGAAGTTCGGGTAGCACGCAACCTCAGATTCGTGCGGTCGGCAAAATCACATGAAGCCAATTTGTGCTAGGGTAAACCGTTTGGGAATGCTCTTCAAGGAACAAAGGATTATTTAGGGGTGGCTTCATGAGACTTGAGTATACAGTATGTAGCCCTTTAAGAACCTGAGCGCCTTGAGGGGGAATGTGCGGGGGAAACTGAGAGGTAGTGCAATGTAGCCTCCGTATTAAAATTTGACGCTGACATGAATCCGGCATTGAGCTCTCATGAGCGATTGGGATGGAGAGATTTGTATGTGTTAGAGGTTTTAGGGATTGGGATCTGGAGTTTGCGGACTTGGAAATAAGTTGGGTGTGGATTCAACATTACTGTCTTTACCCCCCTGTCAACGATCGTGTTTTTTTCTCCTTTCCTGATTTTATCTTGCAAGTTCTCAACAATGAATCATCATCACGTCTGACTCTAGCAACGGTTATCTCAACAGTATGAGAGCGGGATCTTGGCTCTGTTCACTGATTTAGAAAGTCGATAGGGAGCAGCATTTCGTGATAGGGAAATTAGGAATTCACCTGGTTTTATTACATAAGACTTCGATAACACATTCTAGATCAGGACAATAGGGGGGGCTCAATGAATGGATTGGGCAAAATCCTGGTTTGCCAAGACAATTGTAGCCTAAAGTATTGATCGTTGAGCCCCTCCTATTTGTTGTCTGCTACGTTTAGTACCTTATTTTAAATCACAGCGAAATATTGCTGGTTGCCAGAGACCTATAGTTTCCGGAAAATCGTGATCCCGAAGGATGTAGGCTGCGTGCCCGAAACCTTTTTTGCTGCTTGGGGGGAGATATGCACGATTTTCTATCATCTCTAGTTTTGTATATTTCCAATATTGCTGCTCCAACTCTCCGAGCCGGTTTCTGGAGTAGGGGCCCAATGATCCTCGGGACAAGTAAGCCGGACTATGTGTTGGGGTATCGTAGTTGTGTGCTCGTCCAATCATCTTGCAGACAGTTTTTCCTTTTAAGCGAATGTTTGACCTGCCGAACCACTGCTCGAACCAAGGTTAGCTCCTGCCGCTAAGTTCCAAGCGATACCCAGGGAAGTGGTTAGGGCTGACTGCTACTCTCGGTAGTGTAAGTGTCATAATAATATCAAGGGCTGGATATTTTTGGGCTTAGAAGTTGAATTTTCCAGGATAAGCGGAACAAACTAGCTGGCCTCAAATTATCGGATGATTATAATCTTTACAGATAGTTTTTCTGGCATGTTCAGAAAATTCACATTAGGTCGCTTGAATTGTCTGATGAGCGCGGTGGAAGGGGTTATCAACAAGTAAGTGCCCTGGCACGCTGGGAGAACCGTGACAAAGAGACAGGAATTTTGGGAATAAATTAATTAATAAAGATCAATCAACTAAGCGTTGCCGTTCCGTTTCCAACTCTCCTAACAAGTAAAAGAAAAGAAAAATAATAATATGCGATCAACTCATCCCCGAGTGAAGTTACTCAGAGAACTAACAGTTCAGCCTCTATCACACGATTGACTTCTGATGCCCCTCAATTCGCTGCCTGAGCTCTTGCAGTAGGAGCACCCAAGTGTCCCCCAAGTTCCTCAAATCCTCTACCTCAGCCTCCCACTCTCCATCGCTAACTATACCCCACTCCGCGTCAGTACCACCCACCATGGGCCAATTCATCAATTTGGTGGTCGCATCTGTGAGAATCGCCTCATCGCTGAAGCCCTCGGCCAGACGTATTTTGTAGATTTTTTCGGCGCAGGTGAGCCGGTGCGACAGGGATTCATGCACGGATGGGCGGGTGAAGCGTGGGATCGTCCCGGGGTTTGTGGGGAGAAGGTTGAGTGTAGTGATTAGGTATGTAGTTATTTGATGTAGTGTTTGCAGTAGGGTGGTGTAGTAATCTGAGGAGGGGGCTGGCATTTTTGGCTTTAGAGTTGGTGTTAGTCCGCGATTGGTGTAAAATTTATATGCTAGATGTTTTGTTAACTGGTTGCTGGGAGAAGGTTCTTGAAGGAGCTTAAGTGGCGGTTTAGTGCACGATGGTGATGAGCGGTAGTGTGGTTGGTGTTGCCAGGTGGCGTTTTTATAAGAGTGAATTTTTTCCCAAGTTGTTTTGTCTTGAAAGGTTAGTTGGCGGGTATGTTTGGCAAGCTTTCAGCGCTTTATCAAGATACATAGCCTTCGCAAAACATAGAAACAAACAATGCCAAATATTGATTACGAGGTGTCATACTATCCCGGAAGTGTAACCGAAATATGTCCTTGAAATAATAGTATTGGGAAATTCGAAACTTACAACGCAGAAGCACTCACCGTGGCGACTACACTGTCTAGAAAGTTATTGGCGGAAAACCACGGAGTCAGACATGGGCCCTTAACATCACTCGGCCCGGGACTGACCTTGCTTAAAGCAACGGTTTGATCAACTCTGCACACTCGGGGACAAAAGAGAACTCCGTCAAAGGGAGAACAGGATTGGAGGGGGATTTCACGCATCACCTCCCCGAACACATGACCCCACGCAGTTGTTCCCGGGACCACTCAGCACCGACCCCTAGGCAGATTTGGAATGTTGGGGTAGCAACATCGTGGATGCGAAATTAAATATACGAGAAGAATTGAACCATCTTTCCCCCATCTAGCAAAGAGGTGTCGTGGCATGCTTACACTCTCGGGGTCACTAGTACCACTCTCTAGTGAGAAAACTTGGACAGATGCTCAAGTTCACCGGGACTCAGGGCAGCCGTGAGAGTAAGGCCCCGGCAACGGTTGCTCCCACTTTTGGAATTTAGGAGTCTACTTTGAAAGTTTTGAGTCCGAAAATAATGTTTCACCGGAGCCTGCAGCTGTCGTGCCGGTGTGAAACTAGATATTGCGAAAGGCTAGTGTGTGCTGGTTCAACTGGTATTCATAATGTGTGCTTTATGGTCTATTAATTTTGTTGGAATATGTGTCCCCTTCGTTTTTGATTTCCTTGTACCTTTTCCGCTCTTCAAAGTTGTCTGATCTTTCTTGAAACTCACTACTGTACTCTCCTTACTCTTGTTGAAACTGTCCTCTCCTTGCAGCTGAAACCTTCACTCTCTCCTAGTGAGAGCAAATTTTCTCTACGCTTAGTGGGGTGAAAGTTTTCACCCACACTGGTACGGTATTGATGGAAGCAGGACTTCTCATAAAATGCTTGCTTGTCTAGTTAGAAATCCATATGTTAATTTGAACGTCTCTTCTTTGCTCAACTGAATTGCCCAATTGAACTTTAACTATCTTCCCTCTCTATATACAATATTTCACCCTTCCTTCGGCCTGTAAAATAAAAATTTTGGTGTATTCAATCGGGGGTGGTCTGAGTTGGCGGTGGAGAGGGGGGATTCTGGAGCGCTGTTTTCTTTGGGTGATTTTTTGCTCTCTTTTCTCTCAGCTGAGAGAACGTGAACGGGTCAAATGAAGTAAATTTTGTGCGGCAAAATCGTCCTTTTTCTAGAAGCTAATCAAGTGCTTATAGTTGTCTCTGGAAACGCAAAGATAGATACCCAGGGCGCGTTACGCACGTGGGTGTTCACTCGCCTTCTTTATGTTGAAATTTGTTCTCCTCTATTCACGCATGAGCTTAGGAGTGAGGGGTAGTTCTTTCTCGGATATTCGGTTCATTGTAGAACACCCTGTAGCATATTGTGCTCCGTTTCGAAAACCGTTAACACTTTATCTCTCGGCCT